CAACACTTTTTTGTTGTTTTATTTTACTTTTTTTATTTTAAAAAATGGATGCACTGTTGGTTAAGGGCTGTAAGTAAGCATTTCACTGTAATGTCTGCACCTGTTGTATTATTTTATTTTATTTGTATTGAGGTAGGCTAATGTTAGCCAGCTAGCTAGGTAGCTAGTTAGGTAACTAGCTAGCTAATATCAGTTATGCTAGCGATGATAATGATGATCAAAATATACATAACCGGATACATAACGAGCAGTCTATGGTCTAGCTACCGGTATACTCACCACCATTGGGGACCAACGGACTCCAACCACCTATTCCGCATGGTAGGGTCCTTCAGCAGGGCATGCAAACCATAGTTGTTGGCTGTGCATCCTGCTGGAAGCATGCATTGTCAAACGAGAGCAGGAGGCATGGTCAATCCATATAGGACTTTTCAGTCTCAAACTGCCGGCATCCTTTGAACGCGTTGGAGGTGATGAAACAACAGAGCTCCGTTCAACGAAGGGAAGGAAAGTGGGCGGAGGGGCGATTTGCACGTGGAGTTTGGCAAAAGAGGGCTTGAATTTTTGACATAATTGTAATCCAAACCCAACCTTCATTTAGTTGTTGTGACGCATTGAGGTTCCAAACTCAGTTTTAGACAAGACTCATTTTGACACTAGAATAAATGTATCTGCCTCATATTGATGCCACAGAGGCCCTATTCAAAACGATTAGTTGGTTTTAAGAGAGGAGGGGATAACAAACAGAGATGGTTCTGAATCTGAACAGAGTTTTAATGGTCTCAGTCAGGCTGTAGTGACAAACACTAAGAGTGAACCACTAAACACAGGACTCAACAGGTCAATGTAACAAGAACAGTGAACCACTAAACAGTGTAGTTATCTATAGAACAACACAACCATGTGAACAACATCAGCCAGATATCACAACAACAACTAAATCACATTGAATTGGCAATTCAGTGAATTATTGTGTGTGTGTGTGTGTGTGAGTGTGTGAGTGTGAGTGTGTGTGTGTGTGTGAGTGTGTGTGTGTGTGAGTGTGTGGTGTGTGTGTGTGTGTGTGTGTGTGTGTGTGTGTGTGAGTGTGTGTGTGTGTGTGTGAGTGTGTGTGTGTGTGTGTGTGTGTGTGTGTGTTTGTGTGTGTGTGTGTGTGTGTGTGTGTGTGTGTGTGTGTGTGTGAGTGTGTGTGTGTGTGTGTGAGTGTGAGTGTGTGTGTGTGTGTGAGTGTGTGTGTGTGTGTGTGTGTGTGTGTGGTGTGTGTGTGTGTGTGTGTGTGTGAGTGTGTGTGTGTGTGTGTGTGTGTGTGTGTGTGTGTGTGTGTGTGTGTGTGTGTGTGTGTGTGTGTGTGTGTGTGAGTGTGTGTGTGTGTGTGTGAGTGTGTGTGTGTGTGTGTGTGTGTGTGTGTGTGTGTGAGCGTGTGTATGTGTGTGTGAGTGTGAGTGTGTGTGTGTGTGTGTGTGTGTGCGTGTGTGTGTGTGTGTGTGTGTGTGTGTGTGTGTGTGTGTGTGTGTGTGTGTGTGTGTGTGTGTGTGTGTGTGTGTGTTTGTGAGTGTGAGTGTGTTTAAGCCAAAGCCAGGATTCAATCCCATCGCAGGCTGTAAACACGGTGGCTTTTAACCCAGTAGAGGCCAAGCCCTGTCTGAGCTGGGGGAGGGGTAGGGGGATTGTTTTAAGAAGGTCATACCAAGGATAATTTTGCTATTTGATTTGGAATATTAAGACCCCTTGAAGTATCCAAAAAATACATACAAAAATGATTTGATGAAAATGTTTATTTGACCTTACTGCTATTAGCCCATACAAACACATTGAATAACAGATTCACTACATGGAACAACAGATAGTCCTTACTGCTATTAGCCCATACAAACACATTGAATAACAGATTCACTACATGGAATAACAGATAGTCCCCCCTAAAAATCTAAAGGAAGTTTGTTCTGAAGTGTCTGTCCTATATCTGAGAGATATAAGAAACATCAGGAAACATGATCATTTATTTTTTTACATGTATTTAATAACCCCTTATTTTTGGCACTAAACAGTCTCCATATATATTTCAACTGATACCAGGGGACCTAAAGACGAGTCTTGTAAGGCGTCCTAGAGCAAAACGACCAACATGTACGTATTCGTGAGAGTCTCACCTTTCCACAGAAGGGTCATATTAGTGTGTAGCCCAAACTGTTCGGACGCTACAGACAGAAGTTGGCAGATCGGCTGTACCGACTTCAGATGAGTCCCAAGACGCTTGTGGGGGTCCTAGAGCAGAACGGAGAACATCATTGTGTCCGTGAGAGTCTCATCTTTCCATAAAGGGGTAATAGTTTGTAGGTCAAACCGTTTGGACGCTACAGACAATTTTGTGAGAAGACTGATTTTGGGGATGTCTCCTGGTCTGACAAACCCCGCTCTATCTCCAGGTACGTAGGCGGATGCAGTGGATGGAGACTCCGATATCTCTAGTTAAACTGGACATTTTTTAATCATGCTAATTGGATTTCCGCGAGGGCACGGACAATGACCTTTGGGGTTTAAAAGGCAATGTTTCCACATCCAGGGAGATCTCTTTCATGGTAAATGCTACATATGTCGGGTTAATGGGAAATGTATTTAAAAGCCACAATGCCTATAACCCGCGATGGTATTGAATTCCGGCCTAAGAACCTGGGCTGGAATAAAAACCCTAAAACTGCCAGGTCAGGAACATCCAGAACAACCCTAATAGTCAGGAACATTCAGAACAACCCTAATAGTCAGGAACATTCAGAACAACCCTAATAGTCAGGAACATTCAGAACAACCCTAATAGTCAGGAACATCCAGAACAACCCTAATAGTCAGGAACATTCAGAACAACCCTAATAGTCAGGAACATCCAGAGCAACCCTAATAGTCAGGAACATTCAGAACAACCCTAATAGTCAGGAACATCCAGAACAACCCTAATAGTCAGGAACATCCAGAACAACCCTAATAGACAGGAACATTCAGAACAACCCTAATAGTCAGGAACATCCAGAACAACCCTAATAGTCAGGAACATTCAGAACAACCCTAATAGTCAGGAACATTCAGAACAACCCTAATAGTCAGGAACATTCAGAACAACCCTAATAGTCAGGAACATTCAGAACAACCCTAATAGTCAGGAACATTCAGAACAACCTTAATAGTCAGGAACATTCAGAACAACCCTAATAGTCAGGAACATTCAGAACAACCTTAATAGTCAGGAACATTCAGAACAACCCTAATAGTCAGGAACATCCAGAACAACCCTAATAGTCAGGAACATTCAGAACAACTCTAATAGTCAGGAACATTCAGAACAACCCTAATAGTCAGGAACATTCAGAACAACCCTAATAGTCAGGAACATTCAGAACAACCCTAATAGTCAGGAACATCCAGAACAACCCTAATAGTCAGGAACATTCAGAACAACCCTAATAGTCAGGAACATTCAGAATAACCCTAATAGTCAGGAACATTCAGAACAACCCTAATAGTCAGGAACATCCAGAACAACCCTAATAGTCAGGACCATAACCCTAACCCCAATAGTCAGGAACATAACCATAACCCTAATAGTCAGGACCATAACCCTAACCCCAATAGTCAGGACCATAACCCTAACCCCAATAGTCAGGAACATAACCCTAACCCCAATAGTCAGGACCATAACCATAACCCCAATAGTCAGGACCATAACCATAACCCCAATAGTCAGGACCATAACCCTAACCCCAATAGTCAGGACCATAACCCTAACCCCAATAGTCAGGACCATAACCATAACCCCAATAGTCAGGACCATAACCCTAACCCCAATAGTCAGGACCATAACCCTAACCCCAATAGTCAGGACCATAACCCTAACCCCAATAGTCAGGACCATAACCCTAATCCCAATAGTCAGGACCATAACCATAACCCCAATAGTCAGGAACATAACCATATCCCTAATAGTCAGGACCATAACCCCAACCATTCATCTGGTCTCTTACTAAAGGCCTCATCATCTCAGCCAACTGACCTCCACAAGGACCATGTTAATCCTTAAAGCTCAGGCTGTACCTCACGATTTACCTCCCTCTCTCTCCTTCTCTAATCTGGCCAGCTATGTGTTTGTGTTTGTTTCTCAGAGACCGCTGAGTTTGGAACAACACAATCAGTTTCAACATCAGGGACAAAGTTCAAGACCTTTAGGATCTTTACTTAAGTCAACTTCAAGTTCAGTTGAAGTCCTTGAAGTCCATCTTCACTTCTCAATCTTGACCTCTCCTCTGTTGAATGGTCAAGTTGAGAAGGAGCAGTAGATGAAGAGCTGAGTGATAAAACATTGTTTCAGTAAATCACAAGGAGCAGAGATTATGCAAAGCAGAATCAGTTCCTTTTCTTTTAGTAAAGTCCAAGTCCTTCAAGTCTGTAACGTACAGTTCAGACGCCGAATTTATGATGAGTCGAACTGAATAGGAACTAAGAGCGAGCTGGCACGGTTAAGAGCTTAGCTTGACGGAACGATCCATAACAAACAGGACAGGGGTGTTGAGGGTGTGCAACTTAGATTTTCAGGTAAATAAATACAATTAATTTTTAGCAAAGATTGGTCACATTTGCATCTTTACAGAAAACGTGTTGTGATTCGTAGCTCTGGGTTTGCTATGATTAAGTTTTGAAACAGAAATAGCAGAGATGTGCTTTGGAAATAGCAACTTGGATTAAATATGACCATGTTTGCCTTTCCATGTAGTCTACTACTGAATATGCTGCTGTATACTCAGACATGTCACCTTCATGGGAAGAAGCACAATGATTTTCAATGAACAGGTCAAATAATTTGGACACTGGACATTTCATTAGTCGGATTAAGCCCATTTTCGATCAGACATGAGGATGAAACATTAAAATATCCATGACTCTACATATCATGTAAGGATATCAAAATGATTATATATTTTTAGAAATACAGTAAATAAATTATCAGGTAATGACTACAGATATAATAAATCTTTGAAAGTATGTGTATTCGTTCATGCCTAAGTATAAAGGCTTAGATATGTCAGCATGACACATACCCTTTCCAGAGTTAAAATATTAGACAAATATGTAAGTGGGTGCACGCGCATCTGGTGAGTGTCTTGAATGTATCTCACCCCAGATATCTCCTGGACTTATACGGTAGCAGGGAGATTTCTGAGGTCCTGATTGGATGCATGTAGAAACTGTCCCATTATGGAGAATATCCTAGCTCCGTATATGAAAAGAAAGTGAGATATTTTTTAGTTTGGTGTGGTGATAGAGTGGCGTAGGAGCTAGGGCATAGACTCAGAGACATGATCTCTCCATCCAGACCTGTCCTCTCTCTCTCTTTCTCCCTCTCTTCCTCTCTCTCTCTCTCTATTTCTCCCTCTCTCCTCTCTCTCTTCCTCTCTCTCTTTCTCTCTCTCTCCCCCGTAGTGTCAGAACTGAGTCTCACTCACTCCCGTATCTTTCCCGTTACTGGCGAGAGCGTGTGCGTCACGTGTGTCTCTAGTGAGTGATGCTTCTCTTGAGTCTCTCCTGGTGACTGTCCAGTCCTGTGTGTCTCTAGTGAGTGATGCTTCTCGTGAGTCTCTCCTGGTGACTGTCCAGTCCCGTGTGTCTCCCGACGGTCTCCCATCCCTGGTCACTGTCCCTGTGTCCTGCTGCGTCTCTGCCTCACTACTCAGGTGTGTATCGCTGCGGGGGATGCTCTCAGCCCGGACCCAACCCTTCCCCCCGGTGGTGAGACTCTTCTGGAAGGACTCAGAGGTAAAGTAGTACACCACTGGGTCTAAGCAGCAGTTGAGGGTGGCCAGACACAGGGTGATTGGGTACAGCGTCCGAACAAACCTTCACATTCAGAACAACGCTAATTAATGGCCTCAATGAGGCAAGTCATTTTGCAGTAAACACCAAACATACAGACAGACTAAATCACATATCTAAAAACAGCAACAACACATTTCAGAGGATATTTACAAGAACATTGAATAAGTGCAGTTAAGAAAAAAATGACATGTTGATTGATTGAGTGATTGATTGTTAAAGCGTAAGTGTTAAAGTGCAATTAGTTATACCTCTCCAGTTTACAGTTGGCCAGAGCCTGGGTTAGGGTTAGTTATACCTCCACACCATGGAGTAGAGGAAGAGGATGGAGTTGTAGGGTTAGGGTTAGTTATACCTCTCCAGGATACAGTTGGCCAGAGCCTGGGTCCGCACCATGGCGTAGAGGAAGAGGATGGAGTTGTAGGGTTAGGGTTAGTTATACCTCTCCAGGATACAGTTGGTCAGAGCCTGGGTCCGCACCATGGCGTAGAGGAAGAGGATGTAGTTGTAGGGTTAGGGTTAGTTATACCTCTCCAGGTTACAGTTGGCCAGAGCCTGGGTCCGCACCATGGCGTAGAGGAAGAGGATGGAGTTGTAGGGGACAAAGCAGACGATGAAGATGGCCAGGTGGACGAGGATCATACGGAGGACCCGGCGCTTGCTGTTGCAGCCGTGGCCGATGGTCCCTGGGCGACGGAGGGTTCTCAGCACCAGAGAGGAACACACCAGGTTGGTCAGGAGGGGGAGGAGAAAACCTACAATCTGGAGAGTACAGGAAGAGCTTAGCACATACACGACACACACTAATAATAAGATACACACACTGATACACACACTGAGAGGTAAGGCCGGGATTCAATCCCATCGTGTTTGAAGACAAGGCGGCTTTTAAAGGCAATATTATCACATTCCCAGGGATCTTATTCAAGCTCAGATGTCGGCTGAATTGGAGATTACCTTTAAATGTCAAGCACGCTAAAGCGGTTTCTGATTGAATCCTGGCCTAAGTCTTCCAGGTGATTGAAGAGAATCCTTCTCTCCTTCCATCCCCCTCCCCTCCTGCCTCTCTCCCTCCCTGCCTCCCTCCCTCTCTCACTCTCTCTCCTCACCTCTATAAAGATAGTGATCTTGGACAAGTATGTCTTCCAGGTGCTCTTGGAGAATCCCTCGAAGCAGGCCGTGGCGCGGTTTGCCTGGTTGATCGTGGAAAAGAAGGTGACCGATATCCCTCCACCCACGATGGTGAGCCAGACCGCAGCACACACCAGGCCCGCGTTCTTCCGCGTGCGGACTGAGCGCGAGCGGAAGGGGTAGACGATGGCCAGAAAGCGGTCCACACTGATGCAGGTGAGAAACAGCATGGAGCCATAGATATTGGTGATGAAGGCTGTTCCTGATACCTGGGGGATGGAGAGAGATTGATTGGTTAAGTGATTAATTAATTTACTAATTGATTGATTGATTCATTCGTTGCCTGACACCTGGGGGGTGGAATATATGTATTAGACAGAAACACATATACAGCCAAACACTTGTGAAATTACCTAACAGTTCACACAGTGAAAAGGGCTAGAAACTAGTAACTACCTTGCAGAGCTCATCTCCGAAGGGCCAGTGTCGGTTGATGTTGTAGTAGACCTTGAAGGGCAGCGTGAACACAAACACAAGGTCTGACAACGCCAGGTTAGTCATGAACAGCGTTGTCTCGTTGCATAGCTTCATCCGGAAGCAGAACACAAAGAGAGCAGCACAGTTGGTGCAGAGCCCCAGGACAAACACCACGCTGTAGACCACACTGTACAGGTCATACTTAAAGCTGTCATCTATCCCACAGTCCTCCATGCCTGTCTCGTTCAGCACCAGACCAGCCATGCTGAGGCCGGGGTGGAGGTAGAAGGATGGGAGGTCTCTGGGGAGATCAGTGGGGGATCCACCATGCAAGCCCCCTCCAGGCCATCACAATCCCAGACACACGCACACACACATTCCCAGAGATGCTGACAATATGTGTGTGTGTTTGGGCTGGTCGCTCCCCCTGCAGACAGGAATAAACAAGTCTGTTAGCTTGATAGCTTAGCATCTCCCTCCAAGTCAGTTAGCTTGTTAGCATGATAGCCTAGCATCTCTCCTCCAAATCAGTTAGCTTGTTAGCATGATAGCCTAGCATCTCTCCTCCAAGTCAGTTAGCTTGTTAGCATGATAGCCTAGCATCTCTCCTCCAAGTCAGTTAGCTTGTTAGCATGATAGCCTAGCATCTCTCCTCCAAATTGTTAGTCTGTTAGCATGTAAGCATTTCCCCTCGGGCAGACTCACTAACTCTGTGAAAAATTATAATAATTAAATTTGTTCAGTTGGTCGTGAATAGGCTACAAACAAATATTTAGATGATAGAGGTTACTAATACAGTCCAACACCTGGTTTTCTCCTTAACACAGTAACACACATTGACTTATTACAGTAACACACAGTGACTTATTACAGTAACACACAGTGACTTATTACAGTAACACACAATGACTTATTACAGTAACACACAGTGACTTATTACAGTAACACACAGTGACTCATTACAGTAACACGCAGTGACTTATCACAGTAACACACAGTGACTTATCACAGTAACACACAGTGACTTATCACAGTAACACACAGTGACTTATCACAGTAGCACATAGTAACACAGTGATTTGGCTGGACTATATAGCTTCCTAACAGTAAGCTGTATCATTCTGCTTTGTTGAAACTATACTACAGCTGTGAATGAGGTGAGCAGTGTGGGGATGGGCCAACATGTCAGACCAGACCAATATAGCTGTTTCTTTCTGTCAGTCCTACTATAGATACCAGACCAATACAGCTGTTCTTTCTGTCAGTCCTACTATAGATACCAGACCAATACAGCTGTTTCTTTCTGTCAGTCCTACTATAGATACCAGACCAATACAGCTGTTTCTTTCTGTCAGTCCTACTATAGATACCAGACCAATACTGCTGTTTCTTTCTGTCAGTCCTGCTATAGATACCAGACCAATACAGCTGTTTCTTTCTGTCAGTCCTACTATAGATACCAGACCAATACAGCTGTTTCTTTATGTCAGTCCTGCTATAGATACCAGACCAATACAGCTGTTTCTTTCTGTCAGTCCTACTATAGATACCAGACCAATACAGCTGTTTCTTTCTGTCAGTCCTACTATAGATACCAGACCAATACAGCTGTTTCTTTCTGTCAGTCCTGCTATAGATACCAGACCAATACAGCTGTTTATATCTGTCAGTCCTGCTATAGATAGTAGACCAATACAGCTGTTTCTTTCTGTCAGTCCTGATATAGATAGTAGACCAATACAGCTGTTTCTATCTGTCAGTCCTGCTATAGATAGTAGACCAATACAGCTGTTTCTTTCTGTCAGTCCTGATATAGATAGTAGACCAATACAGCTGTTTCTATCTGTCAGTCCTGCTATAGATAGTAGACCAATACAGCTGTTTCTTTCTGTCAGTCCTACTATAGATAGTAGACCAATACAGTTGTTTCTTTCTGTCAGTCCTACTATAGATACCAGACCAATAAAGTTGTTTCTTTCTGTCAGTCCTGCTATAGATACCAGACCAATACAGCTGTTCCTTTCTGTCAGTCCTACTATAGATAGAACACCAATACAGCTGTTTCTTTCTGTCAGTCCTACTATAGATACCAGAACAATACAGCTGTATTCTGTCAGTCCTGCTATAGACAGTAGACCAATACAGCTGTTTCTTTCTGTCAGTCCTGCTATAGATAGTAGACCAATACAGCTGTTTCTTTCTGTCAGTCCTGCTATAGATACCAGACCAATACAGCTGTTTATATCTGTCAGTCCTACTATAGATACCAGACAAATACAGCTGTTTCTTTCTGTCAGTCCTGCTATAGATACCAGACCAATACAGCTGTTTCTTTCTGTCAGTCCTGCTATAGATACCAGACCAATACAGCTGTTTCTATCTGTCAGTCCTTCTATAGATATTAGACCATTACAGCTGTTTCTTTCTGTCAGTCCTACTATAGATAGTAGACAAATACAGCTGTTTCTTTCTGTCAGTCCTACTATTGATAGTAGACCAATACAGCTGTTTCTTTCTGTCAGTCCTACTATAGATACCAGACAAATACAGCTGTTTCTTTCTGTCAGTCCTGCTATAGATAATAGACCAATACAGCTGTTTCTGTCTGTCAGTCCAAATATAGATAGTAGACCAATACAGCTGTTTCTTACTGTCAGTCCTGCTATAGATAGTAGACCAATACAGCTGTTTCTTACTGTCAGTCCTGCTTAGATAGCCTATACCTTGCTAGACCAAACTTACAAAAAAAAA